TTTATGTTCGTTTTATGTGTTGCACGATCTGAATTTATTACCAGATGTATTTTCCGTTATGTTAACCTTTTATTTTGTTATGCTTTGTGCTTGGCCTGTCCCGTCATAACCATATGGCAGATTTCGCCTGCTAGGTGAGCTGGGGGCCAGTGCTTAAAACTAACTAACTAACCTTATCTAATTTTCGCCTCATCTTTTCGAGTGGCAACAATCTCGCACGCTGGAGATAAAAATCTGCTTTATTTCGAGAAGTGTTGCCACTGCTCGCTACATTTTGTTGATAAAAATTTTTAAGTTTTATGATGAAATTAAAATAGCATTCCCAAACATTAAATACATTATTCCCGATTCCAAAAATTCATGGGAAAACATTTCGACTGATCCCATCTTCGTACAACTTTAATCAGCCCAGATATTAATTAGAAACTCTAAAAACACTAATTTTTGCATTCATTTTCACGAGTGGTTATCATGCGCTTCGGAGATAAAAATGCTTTATTTCGAAAAGTGTTGCTATTACTCGCTTTTCAAATCGTAGAGTTTGCTAATAAAAAATCTAAATAAGTTTTACAAAATCTGTATATATAATGAAGAATGTCTGTTTGTGTTTTCGCGTTATTGATTTCTGATCAATTATGATAAATGTTTTGCCACATTTAATCGACTAAAATTGTATATAGGTGAAATATTGGATGGAACTTGAACTTTTACGACCTTTTGTTTAAAAGACTAAAATCATTAAAATCTGCGTGCCATTAATGCTGATATAATGAGAGAGAATTAGTTTATTTTTCTATAGAAATTTTGTATGTGGGTTCCATATCTCATCAGACTGAAAAATGCATAACTATGAGTCGTATTTTGTGCGTTATTAGAGAACGATTACAGCGGTATCGTTCTCTCTGTTGTTAAATACATTACTTTCAATCTAACTTAACTGGCATAGGGTACTTCCGCTAGAAAGTATATAAATAAGATATCGTTTTTGAAAAAATTTGTGTTGATCAATTTCACAACAGGCTGCCTATTAGCGCTCATCACTTTCTCTATTAATATCAGAAACTCTTTCGTAAACTAGTATTTAACTTATAGTTACAAAAAAAAATTATGAATGCTGCTTTTCAGTTTGTGAACGAGTCCTGATTTTCAGAAAGCATAATATGGAATTTTAAAATTAAATAACTCGGTCAGCTTTTGTCGTAACGGAGTCGAACTTTTTATGTTCACTTTGTCACAAAAAAGTCTATGTACCCAGAAGGAAACGAACTGCTATCACGAAACTTAACATGTATGTAGTGTATGAAGAAATAAACAAATGATTACAAATTCAAAACAAGATCGTTTTATTAAGAAGTTATGGCATGAAAAAGGCTACAAATCAGTAAGCAATGTAGCCCCTTCTGGCAGCTATACAAACCGAAACACGCCATGGCATCGAATCAAGTAGGTCACCTAGGACCCCCTGCGGAAGATCATGCATATTCTTTGCAACCGGGCAGTTAATACACCAATATTTCGGGATGCCTACAGTTACCTTCCAAGCATGTCCAAAATATGCTGTATTGGCGAGAGGTCTAGTGACCTGGAAGGCCACGGGAGTACGTCATATCCTTGAAGACATTGGTGGGAGAGTCACGCTGTATATGGACGAGCCTTATCTTGCCGAAAAATGGCACCTATCGACTTAATAGCATAGGCAGTACAGCTGGTTTTAAAATGTCGTCCACGTAACTGCGAGCCGTCATAGTGACTCGAAGGACGACTAGAGGTGATCGTGTGTCCCAACAAATCGTTCTTTATACTGTCACACCTTGTGTAATCGCCTATGCAGCTCGAGAACAAATACCGGATCGAACCGCTGGAATGGCTGCCTTTTCATTCTCATGCGCGTTCTCATTCTCATTCTCATGCATTTCATTTTCATGCGCGCTCATTTCTGTTCCTGGGACGGCCTGGCCCTCCGGGACGATAGACTATTTCTTCCGTGATCCACTGTTGCCAACACCGAGAAACTACCATATCGCTCCAACCGAGGTGGCGGCCGATACGCCTGTTCGACCAACCTGCTTCTCTGAGGTATACTATACGCCCCTTCTCAAAGTCCGACAATTGATCGTACTGCCGCCGGTTACGTCTCAGAGGCATCTCTAGTCACAATATCATACATTCAAGTCTACAGATTCGTTTGAATAGCCCTAAGAAACGAGCAATCATGGTTTTAAACTCCCATCTGCGCATCTCATATGCGTATGGCGCGCTTACCCTTATCTCACTGGCGTCAAAATCATTTGCGTATTTCTTAGCAGATTACTTTCCTGCCAAGTTTCGTGATTGTGGCTCGATTTCTTTTTGGTGCATATATTTTTTGTGACTGAGTGTATTTTTAATAATGGGTATAAAGGTTTGCTAAATATAACTTTAGTTCACCGGATTGTGGCTCGATTTCTTCTTGGTGCATATATTTTTTGTGACTGAGTGTATTGGGTGTAAAGATTTGCTAAATATAACTTTTCGGGCGACAGTATAAAAAAATTAGTTTCGTAATTTTCACAAAACTGATTCTTTTTTAAATTTGAAAATGTCAAAACATGAAATTTGCATCATTTAAAACATTTTTATAAGGATTTCAATGAGTAACGTGTATAATGCAGATGTGATGCAGCAAAAGAATGATCAAATTCAAAATATCTCTCTATATATACATCACATTAGTTATGTTTATTAAATTAAATCAAAGTTCAACATTTTTCTAGATAATTCTAGTTTACTCCCCAAATTCAAATTCATCCTGTTGATGTCCATGAAGACTCTCCATCCAGCACCGGTGCTGGGCCCGAATTACCACGACGAATGCAAATTGGCAACGCTCGTTCTTCTTGTTGCCTTTATATACAGATATGTCCAATATGAAGTTGTACGCAGAACTGGCATTCATCTGAAAAAAAGAGAGAGAGAGAGAGATGCGATGCCACTCCTGTGTCTAGTGTCGCACCACTGTAAGCGAGCCTGTCTCTGTGCAGCGTTAAGGGAAGCCGTAACAACGGTCGCCGTCTCGACAGTCATTGGTGTTGCAGACGTTGTCACTGTCCTTATCGGACCACCGGACACTTATCGTCTTGCATATGAGCCAGGTTCCTTACGATGATCATCCGTAAATGATGTAGCTGCATGATCCTGCAAGGACCAGAGGGCACCACGTATGTTCTCTCGTGTGCTAGTGGCTTGAAGGATAGACATATGAATGAGATCCCACATGGTGTTCAGTGTGATTTTTCCGGATTCATCGATTACATATTCATCTAAAAGTCATGAGATTTTCACCAACACAACAGCAATGTGGCGTAACGATAAACTGCACTTCCTTTTGGCCACCATCCTGCTACAGTCGAATTCGAACACTGGGTGGTAGGAGTTTCTTCTTACACAAGACATAACTCAACATTTACACCAACAAACAATGCTTAAATGAAATTTCCAATTAAGAATTCTGCTTTGTAATCTTTCCATTCATACATAATATAGATGGCATTACTCATACCTGTTTTGTAGATGCACTAGAATGCTAATAATTTGCATATCCCATGTATGTGTAGTAACGTTCACGTAAGTTTGATGTTTGTTGCATACCACCTTCATGGTGTAGCAATTCTAATGGCCAGCAGGTAAGTTAATAGTTTATCTTATTGACTAAAAATTAGACAAATTCTGGTACATTTAAGGAGAGGATGCACCTGCCGAATCTTGGTTTGGATGTAGTAAGATTAAGTACGGGATCAGACTGTACACGAATTCAATTTCGGGAGTTTATTTTCATTTGAGTTAGTGATAAAAACTTTTTATCACACAGATATTGTAGAATAAAACTTAATTATTTTTAAAGAACTATTGTACACACTGGTTTTTAGGCCCAGAAATTAACCATACTTTCTGTTTGGAACTTTGTTTTAAATTGGATGACATTTGAGATTTCAATTAACCGTTTCCTTTCATTCAGTGACAGTTTATTATTTTCGATATCACAATGGAAAGGATTATAAACTCATGAAAATACATTATATTTACCACTTGGGAAATAAGTTTTAAAAGTTTCGAGGTGCATATATATATTGTATAATATATGCTTTGTATAATTATTTTCCAATAATAACATTTTCTAAATACTAAAAGAGATTCTAAGTTTAGATCTGGTGAAACATTTTTTTATTTTAAGCAACTAACCCCAAAATTAGTTTTCCTATCAGACCCCTTTAACTTGTGGGCACTGAGAACAGTTACAGAATTAACTTATAGCCAGAGATTCTGTTCATTTAGTTTTGAAAATACATCTAAAAATATGCCATTGTTACTTAGTTATATGTCATCAGCAAGAAATGATGCAAAATCTTCGTTTACAAATAACAGAACTTTATATCTTAATTAAAAGAGCCTTGTAAGTACCTTGTCTCATGAAAGCCAGAGAACTTCAGAATGTAAAAGCAGCAGTTTTGTGTACACTACCCATGTCATCCCAAAGTAGATTCTGCTTTTCATGGTGTAGAATTGCTACACCATGAAGGTGGTATGGTAATGAAGGTGGTATGGTAAGGTAATTTATATTAAAAGGTCCAGGTAACATTAATGACACAGCACATTAAATTAGCAACTTAATTAAAATGTTTTGTTTATTTTTTCTAATTTGCCTTTGGTATCGAGTTTTATTTTCAAGTTTTGTTAATGCTGTTTGCATTCTTCATGTTAGATAGCTGATTATTATCAATTCAGTGCAGTTTAAAATTATTGTGCATTTCATTCACATTAATTTCATAGCAATTTGACGACTTTAATAGTTTTTAATTAAATACTTTACTACTATTATTCTCTCTCTCTTTCTCCGTATATCTATCTAGTTCTCTCTATTCTATATATACAATATATATCTTAAGGTAAAGTTTTATTGTATGAAATGATTATCAGGATGATGTAACTTTCAATTTTTAATAATGAAATATTTTTACCTATAGGTACTAAACATGTATAGCTAAGATTTGTAATCTGAAGTATAGAAAATATAGCAACACCAGAAGCTCTTCAGATCTTTGTATTTACAAATTATTCAATAATTATATTTTCTTTGTAGGCTATGGAGCAATCATTTCAATGTTCTGTCTGTAAGACTTCTTATTCAGAATCCCGATATCTATTGGAACATTTTGAGAGCTTAGAGCATGCTGATAGCATACGAAAAAATTCAAAAGAAGCAGATGATAAAAATGTAGTTTTAAATGAGCAATACCTCTCAGAAACTGATAATGGAATTCCTGATCGCGATGATCGAATCATAGCAGATGACCAAAAGCCTATTTTTCCACAAACCATTCCCTCACAGTTGTGCAAAACATCTTCAACTGCTTACTATTCTTTCTGTGACATTTGCCAGAAGCATTTTAGTGGCCTGGAACCTTACCAACAACATATTGTGAGCGTAGCGCATATGAAAAAAAGTCTTCTTCAGAAATGCTCGCTGGGTAGTAATACGTCATCAAAGGGTAATACAAATGTTCTGACCTGTGAAATTTGTAACAAAAACTTCTCTGGCCCAGTTCCATATCAACAACATTTGAACAGTGAAGTACACAAGAAGAAGCTGAATTCTCAACTTTTACTCGAGAAACTGAATGACACGCCAGAAAATAAATGTGACAATATTGCAAAAGATTTGCAAGGCAGCAGTTTGCCCAATTCATTGGATGTGTCCAGTAGTGAAGATTCAAATGTTAATGATTTGAATAAGCTAACCGAAGTAAATAATGATGCTTTGAAAAATGATATAGCGAAACTGTTGTATGTCCCAAATGGTATTGTATTACATGTCATAAACAATGTTCAGGTCCTATCCCATATGAACAACACATGTCCAGTGAACTTCACCGCAAAAATATGAAGAACTGAAGATCAATCTTGGATAATCAAAACCCAGGATAATGAAATACCAACCCTGGATTTATCGCAAAAAATTCCTGAACGAGAAAAAAGTAATGATTATAAAGAAAATTCAAATTTGCAAGATTCAAACACCTTAATCTCTCCCAGTTGGTATTGTAATATATGTCAAAAGCAGTGCACTGGACCTGTTCCTTTTCAGCAACATATGTCTAGCAATGTTCATCGTAAAAACCAGTTGAAGGCTGAAATAATAGCTCAGTTACAAGCACTTCAAGGTAAACACACTGAAACAAGTAAAACTGACTCATCTTCTTGTCAGCCTGAAAGCAATTTCACAGCGAAATTAAGTTCTCCTTATCAGCAAGGAGTTGCTACGGAAAAAGTTCCTATGAACTTGGAAAAGAAAACTGAGAATATTGTTTCTCCAAGTACGTCATCGATCCAATCAGAATATCCCATTGATGATCATTCGTTGCAGAATGTAGATGCATTAGCATCAAAGAATTCTGATACGTGTACTTCGAATGATAATTTAAATTTGGATAATCAAGAAAAAAATAACTGTCAGAAAGATATAAGTCGCGCTATTTTACCTAATGATACAGGAATGAAGGAGAATAAAATAATCAATAGCATGAATTTTACAGTATAAGATACCGATGAGAAAAGCAATTCCAGAAATGAATCAAGAAAGGACTGAATGAAAACAGGCAAGGAATCGAAAACAACTACGTTTAAAAAACAAAAAAAATTTATGAAGAAAATAATGATTACATTATAAAGATGCACTATTTGTAAGGAACGTTAGACATTATGAAAACAAAGCATGATTAAAAAATTTACACTATTAATTTTTGATAATAAAGTCTGATTGTAAAGAAATAACCTTTTCATTTATAAATTAAATTATATATCCTCTTTGCTTATTTAACATTAATTATATGTCTGGATGTATTGAATTTTCATTTATAATGATGTAAATTATAAATAACTTTTAAATATTAATCTTAGAAAATGCAACATGAATGTACGCTTATGCAACTTGTAATAGGAAGGAATGTGTATTTTTAATTGCTACAAAATTAACTTATTACATTATGAATTTGTTTATATTATTTAAAATATTATATTATTTTATTAAAAAAAAATTATATTATTTAAAATGAAGGTTAGGAACGCAATGAATATAAGGCTATAAATAAGCTAATTTCTTATTCTAGACTGTTAAAATTTCATTTAGATAATATCTCTCTAACTATACATATAGATCTAGATGATAGTTATAATACCACGGGCAAAATATTTGCTGCTGTTTAGATTATTTCATTCACTTAAGATTTAAACAAATAGCAATTGTTATGCATTCATAAATTGTGCTACTGATAAAACTACAAACACACAATTAATTATACGTGAGATTTTATACAATGTTGGCCTCATAAAATATGTGTAATTGCTACTCTAGATTATTAAACTTATATTTTGCTTCGGTCATGGAGGATGATGAATTTCAGGAACGATGGCTTTACCTTTGAGCTGTCAAACACTTTAGTAAAATATCATTCAAGGTTACCAAACATAAATTCAGTGCATATCTTTTCAGCACAAATTTAAAAAAAAAAATTACATGTAGCAAAGAACAAATATATCAGTTATGTTACAATCTGTTAAGCAAAGAAGCTTAAACATTAATCGAATATTAAAATATTAATAGCGAGTACTTTTTGGTATCAGTCTGTGACAGATCTTATTACATTGTTTTAATACAGAAGGTGATTCACAATTCAGTAAATATTAAAAAAATAATACTTTTGTAAAAGTGCAGCATAGTATAATGTAGAAATATATATAAAAATAAGGCCTTTTACAAGGGACTGCACTTTGAAAAATTTGTTAATTACAGTTATATCCACCAAACTGAGTTTCATTCAAATCATCCATATTACAGGTAGCTGAATATGAATACTGACTCATGGCAATTGTTAGAAATGCTATTTCTAAGCCTTATCTGGAAATAAATATTCAAATCTGAGAACCTGGCAATGAAAATAATTTTTGTTTTTCTTCAGGTCACTGTAATTCATTTTAGCTGCTAGTTTTTATCTAGTTCTGAGAAGCCGCTAGCCATTTTATTAGAGCTTGCTTTTCTGATGTTAGATTTATGTAGCTGTGAATAAATGTTTATATTTTAATTCTCTGACTTCGAAGAGTTGATTGTATAACATGGCGTCCGAGACAGGATAGGAATCTGCAATCTTCTGATTGATGAAAAAGTATCCTTTGCTCTCCCTGCCCCCATCCAGTATTCTGTTTCAGCTTCAAAACCATGAAGACGATCTCCTGACCAAATGCAGCGAGAAAATATCAAATACTAACTTAAAAATTTAAGACTTTTAATTTTTGGACATATTATTTTGTTTGATGTTTGTAAAGGTGGGAGTATGTTAGAAATAGCATTTCTAACAGTATCATCATTAAGAACTGCCTAAAAAGCAGATTTGAACAGAAACAATTTTTCTATAAGAATATTTGGTAAAAGCGCAGAATAGGCTGCATCAACAAAGTTGAGAAGGCGGAGCGGTTTGACGTCGATAAATGGGTGGGACTAAGCTTGTGACGTCGCAATGTATTCTGCATGGACCTTATAAGAGATAGACTAACCCAGTTGGGCCAACACCTCCTTATAGAAGGAAGTCGGGACACTGGATTGTGACGTCACGCGTAGTCGTCTATGTCGAAACCCCGAGAGAGCAAAGAAACAAAGCGCTAGTGCCGTACTTAACGTTGATTTCACTATTTGATATAGATACTTGGGTGGAATTTTATTCAGAGATTCAATTATATATAATGAATAATTTAATTACTTCAAAATTTAACACAATAAAATTTGACATAAATTTAAGAATTTTTTGTTTCTTATTTCTTGACTTTAATGAATTATACTTCCTTGTAGGTTTCACAGCAGCATTTAAAAAGTTAAAAATCAGCCATACTAACTCAAAAAAGGAATTTCTGACTTTTCCCTCATAATTTAATATTGCTTTATATTTTTCTAATATTTATGAAAAAAACCCAAATTACCAAATTATCTGCATACAAACTATTACTTATCATTTCATTTTTCTTCCAATCAGTAATTTGTCTTTAAAAGAAAATGGTATAAAAATGCACTAAATTTTGTCTATAATATGCTATGTGTCTTGCAAGTTTCAAATAAATTAGTATATCAGAGGTTTGCTTAGCAAATAATTCAATGTGCAATTTAAAATTATTGCTTAAATCTGTAGAACCAATAATATTAGTTGTATATGTACTTAACTGTATTGTGTTAGTTATATAGCTGAACTTGAAAATAAAGATTCACAAGTGAAAAATAAAAAAAAATTTATTTACAATTTTATGCAAGCAGTCAGCATAACAACACAACACCTAAGTTATAACATACAAATAAGTTAAAACCAGCTGATCTCTTTTTATCAATAAATTATTCAAACAAATGTGAAAAATTTCTTGTAAAAATTGAAGCAGAAATCTCATTAAGCATATTGCCATACTAAGAAATCTCATCAATTCTTATTTATTAACAGGTGTGAAAATTTCAAAACTGCTTCTATATTAATTGGGTCTCATCAGAAACAATAAGATGAGACTATGTGACCTTAATATTTAAATTTTGATACTGCAAGTTCAAGTTTCTATTCGTTAAATTTCAACCCATTTTGTCTGGCAATTACAAACACCGTTATTAACTTTTTACAACAGCCAATTAATAGTTTCAAAATGTATTACGATACTGCCATAATATGGATAAATATCGGGCAAACACTTGAGAAGACCGTCCATTACCATTTAAAACACTTCAGGTGCACAAATGATATTAAATTTTATACGATGGCTATTATTATTTATGAAGCATATAAAGATACATTCAACAGCAAATGGATGTCAGCATCACCAGTATATGTAAAAACATTTATTGATGTTGTGTAAAGGAAGTGATTATCAGTTAATGTTTCAAATATAGAAAATAATAAAAATGTTTTACCTATGCACCAGTATCCAATTTGAAAGTATCTGGTCACTACATGCAACACAATTTTGTTGTAATTTTTCCAAGCTAAAATCGTGATCTTCTAAGTTACTCGCTATCAGGCTTGTTTAATTTAAGCAAAGAATATATCAAAATGATTTGTCCAGAAAGCCACCAGTCTTAATTATGGGACACCGGTAATTTCAAAATGCACATGAAAATCACAGGTTTGTGAAATGAGTGCTCCTAATCAGAGACACCCTTTTATTCAGCCAATTCCCAGAATAATAGTAGGAGTTATTACAAACCTGTTATTTTGTCGCCATGCATGCTGAAACACATAACTGTTATCTTGATAAAGTAATTTATCATATGGTAACATGAAAATTATACTCAAATGATATAAGTAATGGCCACTTAAAGACACAACATAGACCCTTTTTTACACAACAACAAATTAAAGACAAGGAAATGAATTTTTCAATATTTTTCAATATTTTTAAGTGTAAAACAGTCAGTACATGCCCATAAAAAATATAAAAATATAAATTATAATGACCCATTCTCAGTATAAAAGCAGCAGTTACCATAAACTTGTCATCTTGTAAGCATGCTGAAACACAACTTTTATCATGAGAAAGCATTTTACAGTATGTTAACACCAAATGATAACCACTTACTAAACATTAAGTGGTAGCCATTTAAATACAACCCAGATACCATTTTATGCAGCAAACACTCAACAGCACGAAAATGAATTTTTCAATATTATCATCTTTCAAGTGCTCTGAATATAAAACAGTCAGTGCATGTCCATATGAACAAAATTATAATGACCCATTCCCAGTATAATAGCAGCAGCTATTATAAACATACAATTTTCTAATCATGCTGGAAACATATAACTGTTACCTCGATAAAACATTTTACCATATGTTAACACAAAAATTATATCAAAATGATAAGAGTAGTGGCCACTTAAAACATAACCCAGACACATTTTTATGCGATGACAAATTAAAGGCAAGGAAATTCCTTCTTCAATATTTCAAGTCATAGAGTGGATATATATATAAATATATTTATATACGTTTGGTGTGGCCGATTGCAACCAAAATACGAGGTGCACATATATACATGTTATAGCAGTCCTATATACAAAATTTCAACGTTCTGAGGCTACTCGTTTTTGAGTTATGTGAGATATGTACGTACGCACGAACGTACGTACATACGTTCGTACAGAAGCCACGAAAAATTCTCTTCAGAATTAATTTTAGTTTAAGTTTTTTTAAGCAGTTTTATAATTTTTTTGAAGGAAAAGAGTATTTTATTCTGTCCTTACGTACAGATATGGTGCAAAAACATCGTTAAATTGCATTCGATAGCGGTCAAAATGGATATTTTCGGTGAAATATGCTGCCTGAAACTTTTCGCGATTACAATACTTCCTTTTTACTTCGTACAAGGAAGTAAAAAGGACATGCCTTCTTCAATATTTCAAGTCATCTAAATATAAAACAGTCAGTATATGTTCATATCAACAAAATTATAATGACCCATTACCAGTATAACAGTGGCAGTTATTATATACATATCATTCGGTAAGCATGCTGAAACATCACTTTTATCAGGAGAAAGCATTTTACCATATGTCAACACCAAACTTATACCCAAATGATAAAAGTAGTGGCCGCACTAAAACACAAACCGAGATACTTTTTTACGCGATGACAAATTAAAAAAAGGACATGCCTTCTTCAATATTTCAAGTCATCTAAATATAAAACAGTCAGTATATGTTCATATCAACAAAATTATAATGACCCATTACCAGTATAACGTGGCAGTT